ATTCATTCATTCATTCATTCATTCATTCATTCATTCATTGTTTTTAAGTAATTAAAAAGAAATACAGAAAGACCATGTGTAGGGGCTGAGGAACTAGAATGATTGGTAGTGAGCAAGGTTGTTAATTTGCCTTCTAGCAATTGGTGTGTAATCATTGGCTCTGACCTCCATAACACCCCTTCTATGAATAGGTTGAACACCCCCCCCCCCGAAGCCCTGTTGAGAAGGTACCCATAGAAAGCTCTTTGAATTCCAGATGTGGTCACTGGCAGAAAAGATTGCTTAAAACCGATTGATGTGCTCTGGCTGAATGAGAACTAAGTTTGGGTCATGGAGGTCTGAAAGGCCTTCTAATAAACCCTGATGGGTTGAATTTGCCAACTCTGTGCTGATAGAAGTCCTTGATGGAAAATGGCTGATTCCTGCCTTAGGCTTTTAGGAGTAGGTGGGTTGTATGTCTAGTTTAATAATCTACATCCTGTTTTTGAACACACACAGACAGTGCAGATGGATAGGAATTTGCCCAGGCAAGTTGAGTGGGATTTTAGTAACTGGTGGAAAAATTGCTATTATTTATTATTAGCTCAACATTAAGATTCTGTTTGTGGTATATGTGTAAGACTGATCTTTATCACAGGAGGGTATTTCCAGTGTGTGTGTGTGTGTTTGTGTGTGTGTGTGTGTGTGTATTTCCCCTTTTTGTTTGGCTTAATGTTTTGCTTTCTCAGGAGGGGGAGAGGGCATAAATTTCTTGACTGTGGTTTCAGTATGGAATGGGGAGGGGAAGAGAACTATAGGTGATGATAGTTAGTGCCTTAGGCAGAACAGTAATGTGTAGCAGAATGGCTGCCAGACTATTTGATAGAGGACAACCTGGATGTGTACAAATGCATAAGTGGATGGGGAGGAATGGATATATGGATGAACAGAAGGTTTGATATTAATTTCAGATGAAGTTAGACAGTGCCAATTTTTTTTTTTTCTTTGCATTTTTCCCTACCAGTTTCAGCATCAGTTTCATGGAGAAATTGTGACTGATTTCTGTCAAAGAAGAGGGCATCTTTCGTGCAGTATGTAGAGCTTTAAGTGACCAAGTGGGTTGAAAGTATCCTGTTTTCCACTGTACAATCATCTCTCTGTGTCTAAAATTATTCCTTGCATCAATGATTTCCATTAAATATCAGGAAAAGAATCAGGAAAAATCCTCCCATGAGCCTTATTATTATTGTTATTATTAGCATTATTAAAAATAGAGAGGCTGTACCACTTCAAAGTCAGGTGAGATCCTATTTACAGTTTCCTCCATGTAATACAATTTTCTGCATTTTGAAAGTTATTTAGATTTAAACATCGTAATGGTGTGTGCTTTCTCTTTTATTGTACTTTCATTGCTGAAAAGGAGTGTTTTGGGTAACCGAATATTCAGTCATGTGAATCCCTATCTAAATGGGAAATTGAACAGTCAAGGGACAAGTTTACCTAGCTTTTACTCAGGAGGTTAAACACTTCTTTTCAGCAAACCATAAATACTCTCAACTCACTTTGTCACTTAAATTATCAATGCCAAGATTAAAAAATGATATTGATAATTACGGAATCACTGGGGAGTAACTTGTTTTCTTAAAGTTTTTGAAGCTGGTGTGCCAATTTAGCTACCTCCTTGAAGTGACCTAAGAACAAGCTCTTTTGCCCTGTTTTCCATATCTCAGAAGGTTCCTTCTCAAAAAGAATCTTTCTCATCAAAAAGTAGTCCCACAGGGTGAAGCTTGGGAGAGATACACTTTCTAATTTCCAGTTTGGGAAGCCATGAAAATTTGAACTATATGATGAGAAATGTAGATCTGGCCTTGGGAATGGAGAAGGAAAACATAAGCCATTAAGAGGGATCTTCTGAGAAAAGATTACTCAATTCTGAGAAAGAAGAAAGCGTGAGAAAGAAACTTGAAATAACCCTCCACTGTATTGTTGAAGGCTTTCACGGCCGGAATACGATGGCTGGTGTGGGTTTTCCAGGCTGTGTGGCCGTGTTCTGGAAGTTTTGTTTCCTAACGTTTCGCCAGCATTTTCAGATCTTCAGGGGCACAGAGAGAACTGCTCCTGTCTGTGCTCCTGCCCTCTGAAGATGCCGGTCACAGTTG